ATATATATATATATATATATATATATATATAAGTTTACGTGTTAGATATGTAAATGAGAAAAGTGTCAAAATAGTCTGTTGAGTCTTAGTCGGGTGTCATTTTAGTTCCAGAGTCCATAAAAGTGTCAATTTAGTGCCCAAACACTTTTAAAGGTGACTGAAATAGGAGGGACTATTTTAGCCCATATTGAAGACTAATTTGACACTTTTATTGACTCTGGATTAAAAAGACCCCATGTTAGTAGCCAAGGGACTATTTTGGCACTTTACTCGTGCGTAAATACAAAAGAATTGAATGGTATGTATGTAAATATTCCTTTATAATTTACTCCTTGTGAAAAGAGTGGAAATAAATACACTATGCACTACAAGCTACTTAGAAAGAATAAGAGTGTGAGAAAGAGAATTTTCAGTTTGCTTTTCTTATGTTGCCTCTCTTGAGGCTTAATCTGGTGCATCAAAATTCATGGATTCAAGTCATTCGCCTTGTTGCAGAAGATCAAAAAAATAATAATAATAATAATGAATCAATGCCGCAGAGATCCGATAAATCAACAGTAATCTGTGGTTAGCTAAAATTACAAAATATTAATTGAAATCTCTTTGAAAAAAAGATGCTTCACAAACTAAAAAATGCCTGTGCTGAGGCTAACAGACTGGAATTCAAGCCACCACCATTCAACACTACCATCATCAGCTCATCCAAAATTTATAAATTTGCATGTATGAATATAATAGCATGCAAAACATCAGTATAGTTTAGGTGGCTTGGGATTTAGACAGAATACATATTCAAATTTTTTTTAAGAAAAAGAAAATTGTAACATGACAATTTAATAAACTTATATACTTGATTGAATTTAGTTAAGTGCCAAACCACTAAATATGAAAGGCATGCTTATTCATGAGGAATGAACATTTCTTTGGCTTATAAGTGGTGTAATAATGGGGACAGTGTAAAAACGAAACAGCAAATGAGAAATTAGAGGGAAAAAAAATATGGAATAGACCATTCCACCACAACTATAAATTTTTTTTTTTTTTAGCGTAGGACGAAATAACATCATCTTTTACACTCTCCCTAAAACCAATTCTTTGCTTAGGAATTTCATAGCCCGATCGGAGGATATAAATCTTCATTTTGGATTCTCTTACAACAAAATGTCCATCTCTGCAAGTTT